TTAAGTGCGCTTGTTTGAAAAAGTGTATAGACACTAAAAGAAAAAAACGGTTTGAGCACTTTTAAGCCGGAAACAGAGCGACTGAGCTAAGCTGTTTTAAGTGTCCATTTTTCGGCCAAAGGCCGTGTGAAATCAATTTGACATCATGTATAGGGATAAACTGACTGAGTATAAATAGAACTTTCATTGGTCATTTTAAAATCTGGAAATGTCATTGGCCAATCTAGAATAAGTAAAATGATGTAAACGATCTTTCTGAAATGGTAAACGCGTCTCTTTTTTTTTTATAAAACTCGAGGGGTTCTGGAAACGAGCTTTCTTCTTCTACAAATAACTTTAAATATCCCGTAAACTCATGCGTATGAAAATATCGGAGACACAAATAAAATGAATTTATCCGGTAGGCCTACTCTCAGTTATGTCTTATAAGCGCCACACTGGCATAGTCAGTGGCCTTCTTTTCGTATGCACGCATTGTTTTATCAAATAAAAGCAACTTTTAAATTAATGAATGGTTGAATCAACACAGTTGAAAACAGTTTTCTTATCGTCGGAAGTGTTTTTTTTTAAATTGTGTCCATCCCATGGGACGAAAAGATCGGGCAAAGGCAAACAATTGTAAAAAAAACTCACAACTTTGAAACGTTCATATATATTGACATGTTTACTTTTTTGTTGGGCTGGTGTTTTCTCCTCGTCGTATACCCGTATATTAACTGCAAAACGCTTAAAACCATATACGGAACACGGATATGATTAAAATATAAATTCGTAATTAATACGAAATTAACAATGATTCAAGGTTCTAAAACCACTTTATACGTTATTTACATCTCTCAATCTGTAGAAAATATATTTTCTTCTCTTTTAAATATCTTATTCCAGGAACACCTATTTAATTGTAATTGTAGTCAAAATACATGAATTCATGTAAAACTTTTGATCGGGGAGATCACCTCAATCAAAATAGAAAATTAGAAGTACATATTACTTGAGGAAAAATATGATGATTTCAGATTTGTTTTTTATTTTGACTACAAATCCAGACACATCTTTAATTAAAAGTAAACATATTGTGATCCGTTCGCAGTGAGTACTACTCATATGAAAGTAAACAGATCTGAGAGAGAAAATACTTTATCTTATGTTTATTAAAACACAACCTTTAGGATATTCTGTTGACTGTCCTATATTTCAATTCACTTTATCTTACGTTCAAACAATCTTTTTACATAGTCCTTGGTGTCACTTCTTTCAATTTGTCGATTATGATCCGATTTAATTGCCAAAACAGCATTGCGAAATCATTGAATCCATAGCAATTTTGTTACAAGAAAAATATAACATACATTCGTACGATTGCATACTAACTTCTATGAAGACTTTTTATGCTTGCTGCATGAAAGGTGTTATGTAAAATGAACAAACATGTCATGAGATATTTTATATCTTTAAACATTTTCATGGAATGTAATAAATCACGGATTTATATGTTATATAAATCCGTGAATAAATGTTTCATGATATTAAAGTTGTATGCCGTCAGATGAGAAAATGATTTCAAGAAAAGAACAATACACGACCAATTTACTGCTTTAAAACATAAACACAAAATTACACATCTTCCACTGAACAGACCATATGAAAATCTTGCAAACCCACATAAATGGAAATATAAACAATAAAACCCCGTTTTTGCTCGAGTATTTCTTTGTTTTCTGAACTCGTAAATCTAGTCACCAGTTTATGAAAAAACACATAGCTCACGGACACGATCTTTTTTCTTTCTTTTTTTTATCTTACAGAGGATTAAAACCATTCTAATATATTAAAGGTAGAATTACATTTAAAATCATAGTCACAGATTTGAGAAATTATTATATATTTACAAAAAAAATTGTTATCGATTGATCCAATAAAGCCCAAAAGATACGGTTTGTAAATATTTATTACAAATATATATATAAAGGTACTTTCTATACTATATTTATAATTCCCGCGTTAAGTCGCGGTGGTGCTTGGGATAATCACGCGATACTGTAACGGCAGCCATATTACGATACGAATATGCCTGGCCCTCCTCGGACAGTTTCTTCTGCCGAAAATATAATATGAAATTAATACTTGCAATTCAAAGTTTGTTTGCTACATAAAGATTATCGATTTACTAATTACAAACCTTTTCTCTGCCCGACTATGTTAATGTTTTGTCATTGGCTGAAACCATCACGTGATTAATACACATTAAGGTGTGAACTAGTTTTATGGTCATTAAAATTATGCCTTTAATCGGACATATAACAATTTTATTTGCAAATAATTTTGAAACAATCCCAGAATCATTTTAAATAATTGAAATCATTGAAAAATAATAAATGCATATAAATTGTAAATTTCTGTAATATGACAACTCACCGCCTTAACAAAACATAATAGACTCAACCAAAAACAAGCGTCTGCTTCTTTACCTTATTATGTAGTTGCATGACTATGATTTGCAAACCAAATTTAAGAGGAGCTAAAGCTATTGTAAAAATAAAACTATGACCACAGCAGAGTTCGTACAGAAAAAGATAATGGGCTCAAAAATAGACGGCCGGTGTAAATATATGTAAATAAATGGAGTTAATAAAAACATTACTTTCTATAAAGTTTAAGTCACATTTTACAATAAGAAATGAACGCATATATTTTAATGATTACATTTTAAATGCACAAATATTTGCAGTACATATTTTACATATTCTTCGATGTTTGAAAATTGTTATATTTGCATAATTATGTACATATATACAATTTCACTTAGTGTGGTTTACCACTTTGATCACAACATACAAGATCTTTAAACAAATCAATGATATCGTGGTAGTACTTTTAATCTAAAGAAACAGAAGATATATCATCATGCTCATGACTCAAAATAATTGTACACTGAACCCTTATTGAAACGCAATGGCTGTATTATAATATTTCTAATACCAAAAGACAATTTATGTATTTATCATCTAAAGTTAATTTCATAAAAAGTTCAGAAATGTTGTTGAGTGTATAAACCTACACCGTGTCATAACTTTTGTTGGTGTTTTTGTCACTTGAACTGATTAAAATCTTCAAAGAGCGTTCGGATTACATTTGTTTTCTGGGTCAGCTTTTTCATTAGTTAATAGATAGGAAATTGTTTCCGTGCTCACATGTTAATGTACATTGGCTACTTAAATTGCTTTGATTTATTTTATGGTATGAGTTAGAGTTAAAGGTCGGAGCAGGAATAAATTTTGTAGGCTACAAGCAATGATAGAACGTTACCATTCAGTCCTGAAATAGTTTCAACTGATTGTATCAGTTCCCATTAAAACGTCTAAATAAGGCATACCTAAAACTTTAGTTTTAGTATTGTATCATGAATGTCTACATATAATATTTCTTTGTTGTCTTGAATACTTAAATTTCACATTGTGTGCATAAAACATTATATAGTTTACATTAAAATTTGATATACGATGTGTACAGAAAGCAATATTTTTGAACATTTAATCACTGATGTGTACATAAAGCAATATTTTGAACATTTAATCGTTAATGTGTACTTAGAGCAATATTTTAAAATTAAATCGTTGATGTGTACAGAAAGCAAAATGTTTGAACATTAAATCGTTGATGTGTACATAAAACAATATTTTCAACATGAAATCGTTGATTTACTCAAAGTAATATTTTTAACATTAAAACGTTGATGTGTACAGAAAGCAATAGTTTTGACAATTTAATCGTTGATGTCTATATAAAGCAATTTATTTACAGAAAGCATTATGTTCGTACTTTCAATCATGCCTGTGTACATTAACGACGGTTTCTCTACATCTAATGTTTGATGTGTAAATAAAGTATTTTTTTTTAAATCTTGGTTGTGTAATAGTTTTGACCATTTAATCGTTGATGTCTATATAAAACAATATATTTTAACATTAGATAGTTGATGTGTACAAAAAGCAATATTTTCAACATTAAATTGTTGATATGTACACAAAGAAATATTTTTAACATTAAAACGTTGTGTACAGAAAGCAATAGTTTTGACAATTTAATCGTTGATGTCTATATAAAGCAATTTATTTACAGAAAGCATTATGTTCGTACTTTCAATCATGCCCTGTGTACATTAACGACGGTTTCTCTACATCTAATCTTTGATGTGTAAATAAAGTTTTTTTGGGTTTTTTTTAAATCTTGGTTGTGTACATAAAAACATTTTTTTATACATTTGATATTGATTGGGTACATAAGAATACACGGCTTTATGAATAATAAGGCGTTCTTTCTCTCTATTTTAAAACAGACTTTTTTATGATTCACTATTGAACAATGACATTAATGGTCGAGTAATGAATGAATATCTTTGTGCAAAGATACTTTGCAAACAGTCAAACTGCAACTGGTATTTGAAAACATGAGGCGTAATTATTTTTCATCGATTTGTTTTCCTGAGGAGCGAGAAGTTATGCAAAAAGAACGTTTGTGCTTTTTAAAGTTATTGTTGACAGAAAAGAATTAGAATTCTAGAATGTTTAAGTGTTATTTACATAAACTCCTGTTCTATCAAACGTGTGTTTTTTTATTCGGAGAAAATGATTAATGAATATAATGTAAATAACATTCGTTTTTTTTTTTCTTCTTTCAAACGCAACAATAACAACGCACGGAAAGTAATATTTGGTCAACGGCGCGTCGTGTGACGTAAAGACTGTTGCTTCTTATTACTTATTCCTTATTTGTTGAGACCACATAGATCAAGTAAATTACAAAGTTTATCCATATTTTGTAAATAATGTTTGCCAAATTATCTTGATAGAACAAGAAACAGTTGGCCGCTGTCACCGTTCCCCGCTGGTGCGTGCGTCTACCAATCAAAAAATAGCTGCAAAGCGATAAGAAATCACAAACAGAATAATAATATTCGCCTCCGCCATATTTGAAACGGCGCAGTGATCTATAAATTGGTGAGTAGGTTGTTGTCGGCCTGATTGGATTTTCTTGTCACTCCTCGAGATGAAGTAGTGCGCAATGGCAAGTCGACTTATGCGATGACGAAATTTAATAAAGCTCTTCACAAAAGGTGGACTGCTAATATAAATACTTGACTTATTAGTGCCACATCGGAGTACTAAAACAACAACTGATTAAGTGTACTAAAATATTTGTGAATAAATATTACATTTTCGCGCCTTTTTTCCGACGATCGGAAACATTAAAAGACATTTATTAAACATATAATGGGTAAATTTCATAAAGGTAAGTAGCAAAGTTATGTAAATCAAATTATATTCATTTTTAAATAACTAACTATTTAGCATTGACATCAAAAGTAAGAGTTAATTTAATAAATATAAACAACAAACGATTTAATCATTAACGCCGATAGATAAGTATCAACGTTCATTATTCCTTAACTATTCGTGAAAGGATACCATGTATTAGAAGGCATTATTGTGAAAATGATTTTAAGAGCGTACTTATATTTGTACAAAAATATAAAGGTGTTTGCGATCATTGCGAAGAAAGAGTGCCGATATCTATTAAATTGTTTTTTATTTAGTATAACTGTATTATGAAATCCGTTAAAACTATAGAATCGCTATATTAAACATTGAAATCATTTTGCATAGTTTTAGTTGTAAGCATACATTCTTATTTTGATATTTATAATAATGATGGTGATATTAGTGAAAATAAAAACATAAGTCTGCATGATTACTATCAATCAATAATTGAAAAAAAAATCCTGTAAAACAATAATTTGCACGTCACATGTGAATAAAATTGAAACATACTGGTTAAAAAAATAGGGAAACAGTGGCGAGCCAGTCATTTTAACATGCACACGGTTTTTTAAGCATTTAATTATTAAACTTTTGTAGAAAGAATTAAACTGAAATTTATTAAAGTATATCTCTTGTAATTAACTTTCGAATATGAAAGTAATTGCATGTTTATAAATGTGATATATAAATATTAAAAAATGTTAAATATTAAAACAAGTGATAATTTATTTTTGTTCCAATTTAGATAAAAACAAACGTTGTTTAGAAATATACCAAATATCAATAAATTTATAAGCAAGTCTTAAAACCCGCTATTGAACTGCTGTTTTTTTTCTCTCTCGAATAATCCCATCTGAGAGCACACACTAGTATATTAAATCGTTTAAAGACATTTTTTCCAGAACGGAATGAACAAACAGATTTGTTAATTATCAGTAAAAGAGTTTGTTTTTATTCATTATGTGCAACGAGTACTTCTCATGCGATCCGTTCTAATTAATAAAATGAACTCACGGTCGCTTCAAATTGATAAATTTCCGTTTTATGAAAATGTTTAACTGCATTTCCAGTTCATTCATGCCTTTAAAATTATGTTAACTGCATCAAACAGATTGGAATCATTTATGCTGCATTGCCTTTCTTATAAAAAAATCTGAACTGTTTTGATCGTTCTGTCGCTAAAGGTTTGCTAGGGTTAAATAAGTATGATGACCGTAATAATAATAAACTTAATTTGAAACTTAAAAAAACAAACCGGCAAAAATCCTTGAATTCACAGAAATGTTTTTTTGGATATAAGTATGAGTTTCGTTTGAATAAGAAAAAATATTAATTAGACAACAAATTCGAATATGAAGAATTTGAAATCAACTCATCGGATAAAACCAAATTGAAAGGGCGGATTGCTGACGTTTAATGCACACCAGCAACTTCAGCATTTAGAAACGTTTTGAAATACATTTACATTGTCCATAGAACAAGTCTTGCCCTTGTAATGATATCATTCTTCCGCGTTTCTTAAATTCGATATGTTTCCCAATAATGTTGTAAATCTGAAAAATCCTTAGTCAGAAAAAATTACATTGAAATGAAACCAAAAAAGATCATCATTACAATTATTTTACTCTACCCCTCAGCGTTATTTATCGTTTTCTGCTCTCTATTTTTTCATTTGGATCATAGCAATATGATTGTAATTTCAAAGATTGTAGTGTTTTAAATTTTTGCTTTTTTATTTCAGAGAGACTTTTTGTGTCTAAAATATCAATATATCTGTTGCTGATGGTTGTTATAACAGAGCTGTGTCACACATTGGCTGAAAAACACACAGATAAACAAGACACAAAAACACACAGAAGGTGAGCTGTTTGTCATTTGGTTGATTAGTACAATGATATATATATTAATTTAATTGAAGATTTTGTTCACGTCTACAAAAAACCTAAGAATTTTATAACAAAAATAACAAAAAAAAATCTGACAATTATATCATTTACATGTTCATAAAAAATATATGTGACTTAAATGAGTCCTAAATCTTCGATTTCATTTTGAAACAGTGTCACTTTGAACGTCGGAAATGTGTAGATCAATTTGTTGTACAATGTCTAACAACATTCAACTTTTGTGTTATATAAGCCATACAAACAAAAGGAAATGAATAGATTTCCCATTCTCTTTCAAATTTTTGAATTTTGGCCCATGGAAATGTCATGGTAATACTACTTTACTTGAAATGAACTGCTGAAATACATATTTTTACATCTATATACCTAAACTCCGTTGAGCTAAGTCTCGCTTACTTAAAATCGACTACAACTGGCTTTTTGATGAATTAACATTCCACTGTAACAATATTATAGTCGTATATCTGTCCACGAGGAAATCAAAATGAAATTGTATTGGTAAAAGTCTGAAACAGGTTAAAGAAAACTTTAACTTTTTGTACTTTAGAAAATGTGAAGAAAATATGCCTGGTGCGAATAATCCTTTAAATGAACACATGTGACAAGAAAATTGAATTAACTTTCCTATATCGTTACTTTCTCGTATTGTTAGTGCTTAAAGTTTATGTATATTGTTCAACGTAAAAACGTCCTCGCTTTCATCTGGCAAATTGTAATTAATATAGTAAAGATAATAATTAAAAAAACTTAAGTACTTTAATTCAAGAAACTGTGATTTACAGTCCAAAGAAACATTGTCATGATAGCCAATTATTTATGACAGTGAAATCTAGGTCTGTATATAATCATTTTAAGTGAAGCTACAAATTCTAGATAATACATGTTATGATAACCGCAGTATTTTCTCTAACACGAAGCCAAAACCGAAATTGCCATATTAATGTCTACACTTGTTTTGGGCAATCATAGCATCTTCTTAATTGTAACTCATTTTGTTAAACAATCAAAGCCAGTTTTAAAAACCAGCAACACTAGTAAAGTAAGTACACATTTTAATTTGCTAAATTTAATTGGCTTTGAAATATGCATGCTTACTTTCGTAACAACCAAAAATTGATAGAGAAATAAAAAGGTTGAAATTTCTACAAAGAGCATGACTCGATATTTATCTAAATAAATGAAGGCAATTACAATACATTTCTCTAACGAACATATAATATAGATAATTTATATTATTTCACATCTATTCGATGAGCTGAATATTCACACTTGTTGTTGTGCATTGTAATTTTATCAAAATTTAGCTTTATTTTAAAAAGGATTATAAGAAAATCATATTCCTTTTCAGATTACAATATTTTCGAACAGAAATGCATGTCAACATATTATTTTAACATTTTTGTATCATTTATTTTAATTAAATAAATTCAATTAAACAATATTTGCTAAAATGGAAGTTTTTTTTTCTTGAAAGCTTTATCCTGTTTTCATACACTGAATATCTATCTACATTAAATAAAATTGTCACACTTTCTTAAATCTATCATCAGATATCAACCCAATAACATATGATAATAACGTGTCGTGTTTTTACAGCTTTGAAAATTACAAATTCGCCATATTTATGTTTCAAACTTTACCCTGCTGGCTGCAACAGAATCTATCGATGCAACCAGTACAATCCAAGATCAGCCGGCACGTTTTTGCAATGTTCACCTTTAGATCACTACTTATCGATAAATTAGCCGTAAATATGATGTATTTGCTTTGCTTTGCCAAGATTAAAAGATGGACAAGTACATTTTAAAATATTTAACATGATAAGGGTACTCATTTGAAGTAAAATTGTTGGCAATAATCACGATGTTTTAGATCTAAGAGATGAAATACGACACTTTAAGAGAATCTACTTTTCAATATGTGTCCAGGGAATCTGTATGTTTCCATTGGTTTCTTTTTAAATAAGGAAAAACTACTTAAACTTCATGTCATTCAAACGAGAAATATATTAACCTGATTGGAAATATTGATCCGTAATAAAGTGATCAATAAAACATCTTCGTTTCTATAAATAGGTGATTAAACGTTTGAAATGTGATATAGTACAGCATTTTTGCATTAAAGCAATGCCATAAATATGACTTAATATATTGCTTTATAGATTATGAGTAAATGTTAACTTTAAGCTACTCATTTCGATTCATTTCAGTTTAGAGAATAACGGATTATATTTGTTTTGCGTATGCTCTTTAAGTAATAGAGCTTCTTTGATTACAACCATTGGATTTTGCATTCGATTTGCGAAAAAGATGGCTTCAATACTGTGTTTACCTTGGACCACATGACCTAGCCTTTATTTGTATTATTTGAAATGTTCTATTCATAACTTTGTCATAGTGTGAATATTTGCTCTTTGAACTAAAAATACTTAATCATTTGGTTTATTTCGGCTTCATCGCGGCTTTTATCAATCAATGTTATTTTGTTAAATTGCCTTACTTTTGAATAAGCTTAATTTCAATAGAGATATGGCATTGCAACTTGCGATAAGGGGTGAAAATATAACTCCTGATCCTACTGAATGTATGTATTGTACTGGCCAAGCTTTGAATTAGAATAGTTCATATGAAAATTTAAGGATTTCAGATGTTAGAAAACAAAAAATAGGCTACCAAGAGTATAGACATTGGTCAGACTGCAGTGACGGCATGGATGTACATTCTTTCCTGGCTCTATACTGGTGGCAAAGAAAAGTCATTTTCGGTTTTATCAGGTTAAAGGTTAAAATATCATAATATGACGAGATACAAATGCTACTATCTCATTTAATTTGAAGAAAAAAATCTAAAATATTATGGTTTCGAAAATGTAGAAATTTACAGAAATTGATTTTGATAATTGATATATTAACGAAAAATAGTTGCGTGGTTTCATTTAATTAATTTGAGTTGCTTTTGTCCAAAAATGGCAAAAAAGTGAAAAAGCTAGTTTTGGTACTGTATAAATTTTAGAATTGATATGAAAAGTTGAAAATATAAACAATACAGAAACCAATGATTATAAGTTTGAACTAACTTCTTATGGAATCTTTCACTCTTTCGATATATCCGAATAGACATGCTGGAAATTTTATTATAAATTGTTTAAAGTTTTGTAATGAAACTTGTTTTTGATATGAATACATTATGTTCTTCAATTAAATCCATAAGGATATTAACAGTCAGGATTTAGTTTTAATAAATTGTGATAGTCTTACAAATAGTCCCGAAAGCGGGGAATTTGAGAATAGCCATAAAGACAAATTGATTTATTAACTAGTTGAAATAATTAAATCAAATTTCATTGATTAAAATAAACATAAATAAAAAAAAATAAATGTGAAAATTACATGAAGTCATTTCGATCAATCTTTTATTTTCTATTCTCATTTCCATTTTGTTGTCCTAACTTTTGACATTAAACAGTCTTTCCAAAGTGTTATTAATAAAACCAAAATCATTTTACAATTGCATTTAAGATCAAAGAAAATGGCAGTCTAATTCACTGTTATCTGTTATTTAATAGCTATTTTAAGAACAGAACACGTCAAGTACATCAGCCTATCAAATGTCGTGTTTAACTTAAGTTTGGTGTTACAAGTGATTATCATCTCAATTGCCGATCGGTTCTGAAAATATCGGCCAATTTACATTTGCAAATTATGTCGTGCAAATTGCTGTGAATATGACGTAGGCCAACTTCCTGGTTTTAAATACACTTTATAAAGGAAATAGAGACAGAATGGCAGAAGATGAAGTTTTATTTAAGACAAAATAGATTGTTGTCCTCAGTTATTTTAAAGAAGAGAGGAGCCGTGTATATGCACTTGAACTTATGAAATGTTTACTCGCTGTTATTAATTGAACATAACTATATCTATAAAAGTTAAAAGTTGCGCTGCACCTTCTGGAAGCCATTTGAATACCATTTAATCAGTTAAATCTAGAAATATGCAGGCAGTATGCCCGAGATAAAATTTATCATTGAAGAAAAATATCAATTTGAAATTTCAATGAGTATAATAAAATGGAATAAAATTATGTAGGCGAATATAAGCAATAAATAACTTGAAAACATGAAATTATATATAGACAAAATTAACCAAAATGAAGATAGATTTAAAATTTTATTGTCTTCACAATTTGAAGCTTGAAACATTAACAAAACCAACATAGTGCGTTTGCGACCAGCATGGATCCAGACCGACCTGCGCATTCGAGCAGTCTGATCAGGACCCATGCTGTTCGCTTACCAACTATATAACAAGTAGAGAAACCGATAGCGAACAGCATGGATCCTGATCAGACTGCGCGGATGCGCAGGCTGGTCTGGATCCATGCTGGTCGCAAACGCACTGTGTTGTTTTTGTCGTGACACGGCTCATATGTGGTGTACGTATCAAACATCATATAGCATAATATCAATCTAGTAAGATGATCTTCTATTTAATAAGATAGTTGAATGATTGAATGATTAAACCACACAAAAATATCTCTTATGAATTTGTCCCATTTTTCAAATTAAACAAAAAAATCAATAATGATTGAAGGGGAAATTTAAAAAAAGAACTGAATGAATAGCAAACAGTACAGACTATGATCATACTGTTCGGATACCAAGATTGCTCTTTTGTTAACGTGACGATACTACCCTCCGGCAATATAAGAATATGCTAGAATTCCTTCAAATTAAATATGTATCTACAAATTAATCTACAATAGTAAAACTTAATCAAACATAAGAAAATTAGTTTTCCAATATTCAAGTAACCAATCAACGTTTATTTTACAACTTAACTTCAGTACACAAAGTAGTTTATGTGTTTGCGTATGCAGTCTATATTGGGCGATGGGCTTCCTACATTGTCCCATTTAATTCATTTACCATACATCTATCAATCAAGCTCAAAGTCAAATTAGTTACTATATAATTTTTAATTTTACTTGTCGAGTTTTTTATATATCTGAGGGCTTGACCTTTTAATCTCTTAACGATAAAAACGACATTTTCTCAAGCTTATTCTTACACTTTATGTAAATAAATCATGACATCTAATTTGTTCCAAACATATTTTGTGTCTGATTACTGTAAATAAACGTAAAGTCCAGTGGGACAATGGGGTGGTATCGGATGGCAAACGAAATGATTTTGTGTCACACAACATATCTGTTTAGTGCTGGAATAGACTTAACACTATTATTTATTTGCATTCAGTTTAGGTTATCAAATGTCATAAAACTACATTCGATTAGTTAAAGTCGTTTCATCTGAAGCATTTGATATTCCTGCTAAATATCTTAAAATCGATTTGTCCATCTTTGAATCTGGACAAAACTATTCATCATTCATTTTAAGGGTAAATTTCCAAATTGTATAGTCATTATTAGACGGCATAATCTGTTCTAGTGGCATGGGTAGAATTAATAGCCGCCTGCATGGTAAGGGGTAACAGGTCTATTTGATGTTTTTTTTATTGTACTTCTAAACTATAACCTGAAATATATCAGCGATTATTTATCTTATAAGTATTTGAATAGTTCTTATATCATATCTAAGTCGGTGCTGTAAATTAATTGTTGGTACTGTGAATTAAATACGATATAAGAAGTTCTTGTGTCAAATGACCCAAAATCCAATCCATTCGAAACGCATGTATATTGATTATCTTAAACGTGAAAGAACAGCGTTGGTTTATTGTATAACTTGTGTGATTTTCATTTGTTTGTTTGTTTGTTTTAAAGAACATATTTGTTTGTTCGTGATTCTTCATTCTTTCCCGAATGGAAAAATATGTCTTCCTCAAGTAATTAGTTATAGAGTATGTTAAAAACACACACAAGTATACCCTTACTTTGAAAATGTACAAACAAAGAATATTGAAAGTACATTCTCTGATAATGTGATGCTCTTCAAAATTGTTACAACTTGTTCCCTTTTACAACTAAACTTCTTTATTCGTGTGATAATTCATCTGATAAGGTAGAAACAAAATTCTTGTCACAGGAGAAATTCGTGCATTATTTGTGTTTGTTTTCTTTTTTCAACAATACTCACAATCAAACAAGTTTGCTATTTCAACTTAAAAAAATTCAATTATATACAGATATAAATAAAGTATCGACTTGAAAATGTACACAACACACCACTTCGTGCAAATTATGGTAGCTCGGTGGTTTAAAATAGTTGCTTTATGCTTCGGAATGCCCAAAAAAAACATAAATATTTCCAAAAAAGGCCTCAAAAAAGCCTTTGTTTACGCAATTATTTGATAAAAAAATCACTTTTGTTGGTTTTTACCATAATGATGAATAACAAGTGATGCAAAATAGCTGGCAACTTTAACATAGTGGCAACCTTTATATCGTTTCATTATATTCGTCATAAATCTTAATTTAAACGTGTTTTGCAATGACAAAATAAAAACTGATTTCTGCTTTGTTCGCTCAGCGCGCTCATGAAGGGCAAAATGCGGATTATTGGCGCGTGCTTTACAGGATTAATATGAAGGTATCTTCTTCCAGGTTATAGTCTTGAACTGTATAAATTATATTATCGGTTGTAAAAGTTCCCACATTGTTGCTAAGTGATGTATTTAAATAGCTGCGTTGTTACTTCTTAAACTGAATTAAGTTCCAGGATGAAATATTTAAGCAAACATGTCTAAAAAAGACGCTTTATTTATGAATGAAGGCGTTTACCAGATAATATTGTTCTTTTTTATACTATCTGAGTATGTGTAAATTATATACGTTATTCTAAATATATTTGAAAAAAAGAAGAAAAAAAACATAATCAAACAAAGAAATAAGGTGAAACGCTTAAAGTACACAATGCTATGGAAATTAAGAATAAAACGCTTTGAGAACTTTTCTTTAAGCCAAGTGACATTAAAACGTGTCATTAAACTGGGTTTTTTTTAAGTAGTTTTAAAACAAGACAAATTCTGACCGATTATTCACGGCTGTTTCTTGAAAGATAAACGGTATTCTGCTTGCATTTGAATGAAAGCCAAGCAAAGGTGACATGTTCATAAAATAAATTATAGAGAAAGTTTTCTGTTTCTCTGTCATATACAAAATAATAAATTTTACACTCCTTTAGATCCAAGTCAAATTTATAAATGAAACTAGTATCTTGTTTTATATGTATATTGTCTTACAACGGTAAAACACTCGTTTCAAATAGAAATTGCATTGCAAACACACAGTTGTAAATTTGCTTTTATCTCAAAAATTCAAATATAAAAAAGAAACACTTTTTATATATTTTTTTGCTGTTGCTTCATTGCTTAAAGAATATTTTAAATAATCCGTTTTCAGACAATATAATGACATTTCCATGACAATTCAAGTATATATTTACACACATTTTGTCTACAATTTATACTTATGCAAAGTTAACATGAAACCGTTTGTAATTATTAGTGAAAATGAAATAGAAATTCGCTTGATATGCTATAAATATACGAAGGTCTTTCCTCTTGAGAGAAGATGTATAAATAAAGGATTTATAGTTAAGTCCAATTTGAAACTGTAAAAATAATAAAGGCGTCGATTCCTCGAAATATATGAGCCGCGTCACGACAAAAGCAACATAGTGCGTCTGCGACCAGCATGGATCCAGACCAGCCTGCGCATCCACGCAGTCTGATCAGGATCCATGCTGTTCGCTTACCAACTCTATTACAAGTAGAGAAACTGATAGCGAACAGCATGGATCCTGATTGGACTGCGCGGATGCGCAGGCTGGTCTGGATCCATGCTGGTCGCAAACCCATAATGTTGGTTTTGTCATGACACGGCTCATATATTCGACAGACATGTCTGAACGAAATGCTGATTTTTTCTTAATGTATACTTTATTAGGTTATAAATAGACAAAACATTACAATATTGTTTTATTTAATCAAGGATACATATTTTGTAACAACAGACAATTTATGTACTTATAATATGAATGTTAAACAAATGTTGGCGTGTTTAAGGAATTTGCATGAAAATAAACATTCAAAGTTTTAACATAAAAACATGTTTAATTTTGTGAATAACTAAACTAAGTGGACTTTTTGCGGGAAACAGTGTACAAATGGTTTGAGTTCACGTACATTCTCAATAAACAAAAATTAATATACTAGATTTCTAAATCTTATGCAATAAAGCCATAGGTACCATGTCTTGTAAGATTACATGATAAAGCAAAATTATAATAGAGGATATGAGATCAAGGCTTGACAATGAATTGTCAAGTTTAATCAATACTTTTTAATTTTGCGTTAAAACAAAAAAAAAGTTTATATCAATTTTACATGACAGATTTGACTATAAATTCAAATCAAAATTGGTTATGTAATTGTACAAGTGCCTTTGTTATAAAATTACAAATTCCAATACTAAAAAAAATGTCTGTGAAGCTCCCTAAAATATTAGATATGTATGACAATGCACGAATGTTTATCTTGCCGACAATTGTGTGTCTTTGAGCAAGTTTTATTAGACAGTTCCGAAGGCGACGTGAAAGTTAATTATATCAAGTTAACACTTGAGACTCTGTGTGCAATTCGATTAAAGGCAGAAAATGTAAATATGCAATCTTATCGGCGTATGTTGAATAAAAGCTTTTTGTTTTAATTCAGTGTTTTTCAAGCAACAGTGCTTCTAGCATAAAGTTGGCATTAAAATATCTACCTTATATTAAAGAAACTCCACTGAGGTCCTAAGGTCTTAAAACATAAAATTGAATTTCTTATATAGATCAGAACTTAAACCAGAAAGAAATGCAAACGATAATTTAGATATATACTCAGATCGTATTTTTGTGCAATTCTTAGTCCTATTTCAGTGTTAAGCGTTGCACAAACAAATTACTTTTGTGGCCTTATAAAATTGTGATCAAAATATTTCAAATCATATATTTCGATCATTTGATTGTTGACATTTGTTTCAAAAAGAACTGTATGTCGTTCATGTTATTCTATGTATAAACGCATGTGATCTTATATAACTATATCAATTTAAATACATTAATGGCACTATGTATACATTTGTACAAAATGTATACGTAAGCAGTTTTATCACAAACACATACTTCTTGTAATATGTATCATTAGCTAATTTTCAATTGCAGGCGTAGACGACAGGCGGGTGATTTCATATTGATGAATTACAAAGCACAGAAAGCCCTAAAAGGGACAACGCAACCTTCAGAATTTTTCAGACGCATGTAAGTACATTTAACCTTTATCAATCGCGTATAATATCTTAAATGAACTTGTTCACTTTTCATTCTTTTCAAGGCCATTTAGTATTTTTTGTTGTATATTATGATGGCCTCAAATTCAAATTGTTGTACTTAAAAATTTGTGAAAAATTACTTTCATCTATGATATTTTTAGTTATTTATATTACCTGCATTTGTCAATTACTTTGAGACCAATCTGTCGATGAACGTCGGTTTCATTCGATCTCTGTAATGTTTTAACGCATTGAGACAACTAATTAGTAGTCATTTAAATAATTAATGTGTTGGATCAAAACGAATAGGAATACTTGTCCGAGAAGCAAAAGTGTGATAGTGTTTGTTTCTCCAATTGCTTAATCTTCCGGCAATTATTTTGCTAATTTGTCTCGTTTACAAAAATGTACATACAATGACATCTAAATAGTGTTACTATTGTATTATAGCGCTAGTATCCGGTGGTTTTTTATGTTGGCTATAAACATTTACAATATGTTTAATGCTAAATAAAGTTCATGTTATGTTATGTTGTGATTTATTGTGTTACGTTACGTTACGTTACGTTATCTTATCTTATGTGTAATCCTTACAGATATAGAAAGCATTAACAATATACATAAGGAAAACTTATGAGTTTTACGTATACACGTATAAGAATCATTTATAAACTAGAAATTACAATGATCAATTATTACAAATAAATACATCTGGTGGTATGTTTTGACAAAGTTTTATTGTACAGTTTTGTCAAGGAAGATGCAAAATATAAATTTGACCTGTTAAAACTTTTTGACAATAGTATATTTCAAGCAATTTACAAAGACTTTTCCTATAGTTCTATCTACTTTCTATTATATACATAATGCGGAAATATGAAAAGTAGTGATTTTAACATCTGGTAGTAAAAGAGAATCTGTAAATGAATGAAGCTAAAGAACCTAGAAACTCGGTTGGAAACGATTTTGTGTGTGTATCATCTGTTATAAATTAATTAATTAATCAAAACATTGACATGAATACGGCTTCTACTCATTACAATATGGCTATTTTAGTTTGTTTGTCCCCGTGTAATTATTACATGGCTGTCTCTATTGTACATGATCATTGCAAACGAGTGCTGTGTTAATTGTCAATAGGAGATTACCTGAGCTAAAGTATTGTGGTTTTTTAATCGATTTTTGGCCTAGACTAAACTGTCTACTTTTGAAGAAAATATAAATGAAAACTGAGGAGCAATAAATGACACTGCAGATCAAATATTTACTGAAAGGTGTTTCATAATGCATTAATATGATATTTAAGAGCGCGTCTAAAGAACATGTTTGTTATATTTGGATTACCATTTTCTTTCTTTATAGAATGTTTATACCTTTAAATAAAAAAAATGAAAATAGAATGACAACAAAATTGTCCTTGGTTTCTTTGAATAAGAGCTACACAGTAAGGACATTTTAAGACACATTTATTGAATATGTCAGAGAGATATTACAAACGTAGTCTTCATATCAGCTAATTTAAAAGCATATTCAAAAGAGATGATGGGAAATCCATTCGACATTGCGATAGAACAGTCATAAAAATAGAGACAGTCTCTGTGAGAGATTTACATTTGTGAAAGAAACAAAGCCGTTTCATCATTATAATGTATAATGTTAAATTTACAAGCATGTCAGAACTTTTAAGATAATGTCAACTCCATTATGATGTGTGAATTAAGTATCTCCCGGCAAATTATCACAGGGTTTGCACGGCATATGAAAGGGAAAAACACATTTGTGAGTAACGCCATGAACAAATTGATCACGAAAGAAAGCGTTTGGCATCGCCTGTGTATCACCATTGCAAACTGTACAATCTCAACACTCAGTGTATTAGGCGTCCTTTTATCGCAGTTTTATTCTTTCGTAAGTAAAGAGGTTTGTTTTGGCATTGATATCTTTATACGCAAAGTACAAAAAAAGACAATTACAAAGATATGTCAGGTGAAATAATCGTTTAATATAATTGAAAATATGTTACTTTTTCTTAATTATATTTTTAGTTTACTTTAAAGATCCTGTTACACAATTTTTTTATGATTTTATTTCATAAATATGATGTTCAAATTAAGATTTGTCAATATTGTAACTTCCAATAAGCAATATTTATAAAGATATTACCGAATTTAACATTTCATGTAAATAAAGGGAGGCAATTAGAAATTATTTTGTTAATAAATTCTTAGTCAAATTTTCCAATAGGAAATGAATGCATATAATTTATTGATTACATATAATGAGCACAAATATTTGCAGTACATAATTTACATATTCTTTGATGTTTGAAAATTGTTTTATTTGCATAATAATAACACACAGTAACAATATGAATCACAAAACATACAAGATCTTTAAATAATGGTTCATAGCTCTTTATTGTTTAGGATACGTAACATTTTCATCTATAAATTACTTTTTAGGCATTTCCTATGAACAAGATATAAAACGTTTGTACATTTAACGCGTATGTAATGTATATAACAAGTAACTAAAAACCTGTCTTCCCTTATTTCGTATTTTCATCCGCCTATGTCATAAATTGCACCTTAACTTATATTCCTTTGCTTCAAAATATATAAAAAAAACAAAACCAGAAAATGTAAAACTAGCAGCTGGGTTTTCAAAGAACAGATATTTAATTTCAGTTTTACCCTGTCCAACCTTGTCAACTCAACACTCAAACTCAACACATAAACAACCTATAGCTACCCATTCCACTTGAATGAAAAATTCAAATTTGAAAATTTCATGTACGTTTTAATCGTTTACAGACAAATTAAGCATGTCTTTATATTGCTTAAAGATCATTTACTGACATATCTTTCTCGAGAGCTACGACTTTGATATCGCTTTAAAGAACGTTGTGTCAGCGACATTGGCTCTCTCGCCAAAGATTTTGTCAATAAATCAAGTTAGTGCCAACACAAACAAATGGTTTGGCCGCCTGATTCAACTTTTTGGCAAGATTGTTCATTCTGTTTAACATTGATACACTGATTTGTTTGAAGCCAAGGCTAGACATTTAATAATGATTTTGGTATGTTTTGAGAAGGACAAAAATAATATAAAATCATACCCAGTGATCCTGTTGCATATGAAACGTATGACAGATTAATCTCCTGTTCACTTAGTATATCTATAGCAGATGTAATATAAGCCATTTGTAAAGAAATGCGACAAAAATTATAGAAAACATTGAACAATTGATCAATATCGGTAATTAATGTAACAGTGTAATAAAGTGTTTATATATCAACACATTTATTCATCACAACGTCCTCTGGCCAAGGATAAGACACTTAAAAGTCATTTATCATGTCTAACATAACAAATAGCTTTGGTGAAGACGAAAATGAGATTAGTGTGTTACTATTAATAGAAACCTTCAAGCAAATTAATTAGTGCCTATAGTTGTTAACATTGATAGAAATTTGCTAAATACAAGAATATCTAAACAAGCTTAATATACAAATAAAACAAAAACAAAAGAATAATAAGGCAGACACAAACGAAAACGGATAGCTAATGAACACAGGACGAGAAAAACGGACTGACAGAATTTCTCGCAGAGGAATACATGTACTACCAAACATCAAGATTTAACTCCCATTTTAAAATTTCTTTAAATGAACCTAAACTTCAGAAAAATTAAACAAACATTAAACAAAAAAAAAAATCATGATTTTTTTTATTATTACAGGAGAATAATTATTGTTGTTCTTGTTGTTTGTTTTTAGTTTGTGTTCTTCAAATTACAAGACGTTACTCATGACTTTAGCCATGCGTTTAAGATGGATCCATGCGTTATTGCTATTACATATAGGGTTGGAAATGAAAATCCATGTTAAATGTAACAGGTTTATCAGTTCACGTTTGAAGTAAAATCTAAAGTTGCCTTAATGGATAAACTTAAAAGGATGTTGAGTATATCTGTTCACATGGGACTAGTTCAGAGTACAAGTCAATAAAATTAAAATAGGACTATCAGCTGGTATAGTCATATTCGTTAATCTATAATCTAAAATATTCATTTAGAAAGGGTTTCCTTACGGTCTGTGTTTGAGATATGGAGATATGGACTTACTGAAACTGATATTTATTTATTCATTTATTATTATTTTCATTTATTCATTTATTTATTTTTTTCAGCGGGAAGAAGTGGGCAGGACCGGTCAATCTTAACAACCGTGACATCTTAATTCGACCTGATGATTACGGTGGCGGCATGCTTATTGATGACGAGTATGTTGAGAACTGGTAACAGTCATGAACAACAAATGACATTAGACAATAGTTGGTAGTGTTGAATCATAAAAATGGTGTTTCAGATGAAAAACATTATAACTATTTCTTTTCTCTCAGTTAATATTTTAATATAAAATTCTTCTTTTGTTTAAGAATTTCATGGAATAGAAAGAAAAAATGTCAACAAATAAAAAGTTTATTTTATGATAATTGAGTAATATATAATAAAGTTTAATAAAACAGATATTTTTATGATGAATATTTTATTGCCTGCAGAACAGTTTGTTATGTACGCTTTACCCGAGACTTTGAAAGGCTATTTTTTATAAATATATTTATCCAAATGCTTTGAATCTATCTGAGATTTGAATCTTAAAAGTCTCTAAAATAAAGCAAGATTATTTTCCTTTGTGCACAACATATTTTCATAAATAATTTAACATAATACCTTTTAACTTCGATTAAAGTTTTCAAACAGTTTAATATATTGTCTGTTATTATAACACTAAGTGCATAATTCTGCGTAAAGTCGTGTACTAACTGAATTTCCTAGACCAACTTGAAAGTAAAAACTAAAAAACCAAACTGAATTTGATCTTTATTTCTCAATTACCCTTATTCAAGACAAAGGTTATTCAAGATCATTTTGAGACTTTGTGTTACATTAACACTAGCATCAAAAACATATTTACATCGTGTTCAACTTGAAATCTATTTTGTATTTACCAAATATTGGAATATCTAATAAATCTGTACAAGAGGCATTGTTTTATGTTAAATCACCTGTGTTGCCCTTTTATAATTAATATAGTTACACATATTTTGAAGTGTATGCTTATAAAGCGTTTTGGATCTTATAGCTCACAACATGGATATAAAACCTGTCAAAAAGTTTGTAATTGTTTGCTTTTCTAATACTATTTTTTCTTCTTTAATAACCATGTATTTAACAGTCGTACATATAAATACAAAAAAAATGCAAACGTCACGATTGTTCAATAGAAAACTACGGTTCAACGTAAAACATTTTAAAATTGTCTATATGAAAAATACCGAAATAAAAGCAAATTACCAAGTATACATACTGTGGACGAGCCTGCAACAAATTCACTATTTTGGGCTTTCTTCAGGGATTCTTATTTTTCTATTTTATACAAGTTCTATGACCCAGACAATAGCTGAATGGGGCCTGAAACTTTCTTCGAAATTAATTACAGCAATCTCGTAAATTTCTCTGCTTTTTAAGTCCATACAAGTCATCTAAACTCGACGTCATTAAGCGTCATATGATATTTTAAACAATCAACCACAGTTCATTACTAGAGTATATCTTACATGTAAATCAAATATTTGAACTTAGAAATGAATTAACAGAAACATGTTATTCATAATATGTATGTATTGGATATAAATATTCCTTAAGTTTATTAAGTTTCACTCAGACTAATTCTTTCACAATTCGTTTCAAACAAGAACAAAGTCTTGAGAAAGGTATCGCCGCATAATATAATATTTGATTCATTCTGCGGCTCGGGCGGGTTTTTAAGAGAAATATCACTTAACAAGTTTAGTTCCTTCGGTTGACCTAAATTGCCTTTCAAATTAGATTAGAAGTGCAGTAAAACTATGTTTGGATGAACTTCTGTAAACTGGTATTAAACCAGAAAGAAACACCTTACTTTGCTCCTAGGAACAAGATTGCGACATTAACGAGATTGCAAGGTGTTTAATAACTCTCAGTTACCAGCGTATATGTCACACTAATTTGATTTAAATAACGACTTTACTGGAGATAATGAGAACAGACTTAAAGCAGGAAATATATAAACACACAATGTTCATTTTGTTAAATATGACAAACGCTTATATAATAGTAGCATTGTTATATTAATCAAACGTTGTAAAAGGCTATCACGTATATGATGTTATCTCAGAATACCTCATTTAGTTTTCCTTTAATCTTGACGCAGCTTCACGTTCAAGATATGTTTTCAGTTTAGCTCGCATCTGAGCCATCTCTTTCCATTCGTAGGTGAATCCTAAAATAAGATAAAATACTTAACAATATGTAAATGAGACTAGAAAACTTAGATACAAACTTTTATAATCGGGTGTGCTTTCTTCATTATACATTGTGTACTCGTCAAATAGAATTCACTATTGAACTCAACAGCGTATGATAATCTCATATTGTTTTAAAACTTCATTGAAAGATTTTATGGAACGAAAGACCGTAAATTCCAAATACAAAACACGAAACTTTTTATAGTAAATAATCAGTGAAAACGAAACACTTTTATTATAATGAGTAACAGGCTTTATATAAAAGAAAGCAATCGTAACAGGCTTTATATAAAAGAAATAAAAGAAAGCAATCGCAACATATGAACAATAGATCACGTGATTTAGTGATGTATAGCCCATTATCTGCTGGAACCAAAAGTGATCGGCATTTTCAAACAGCCTCTATATTGCTTGTCGCTCGATTTTCGTATTTAGATATTACATGTAAACATCTCGTAAATGTCCAAAGCTCAAAGCTGGACAAAATAATATCACTTATCCAGTTTGCGTTGTCAAATATTTTAAATTTAGGATGTTAATAAATTATTTCTATTATAATCTTATCTAGTTTATCTTGTAAAAATGTGATTTAATCCATATCATAAAGGTCACTATCGTACTGATATATTTTGTACATCTGTCGGTTCGTTTAAGTACTTAGACATTACTAACTCAACCAATGCATGGAAAATGGAAGAAAAATATATTAGTTTCTTCAAAGATTTTTCTTGTAACTTCATACTTTTAATCTATACAAATATTGAAATACAATCGGAATATCATGTAAAATGAAACTTTGTTTCAAATAAAATACATGACACGTGACATATATGAATAATTGAATAATATATTTATAAATCATGATCACAAATCTCTGTATTATTTACTTAAGAAATGCCTTATTCTTTCCAGAATCGCTCATTGCTATTCATGTATGTATTTCTTTTCAAATACAAACTTTGAACGAATGTTCCAGAACAACTCATTGAGACTACAAATACGTCTCGCAAATGCCATAATTTTGTATACAATCGTCCAGTTATCATCGATTTATACAGTGATTTTGTTCTCTTTACCTCAATTTTAATACCACTGACTCCAACCTTTCAAAAAATGTCTGGAAAAGAACTAAAAGCAATAAAAATGTTATAGATCGTTTTTCATTTTCATTTCCAGCTCAGTAATAACTTGCTAACAGTTTGGTTAATTTACATCATTTGGAATATATTTTGAATACAAATGATCATTTCGAAATGCAAATAGTGCCGCAAATTTCTCTTTTATTTTTTTAAGATGATGCATTTATTGTAATTATGAACTATTTTGCAGACACAATAACAAGTACATCGGATAAAATATTAGAAAAGAAACAAAAAATATTAACAAATTATGCGTATGACATCCCAAATAAGGACTTCAAACACCTTGAAAAAAATTCTCTCACATGTCTTGCCAAGTCTATATCAAAGGTTCTATTCAAAACAATCAATGAAATTTACCGATATATAAATATACCTTTTGAGAGAAACACATTCATAGAATATCGGAATAAGGTTTTCAAATGACTTCCATTAAACAACATTTGTTTGCTTGAATCTCTATAAATAAATTAGGTTCATTCATCACATATACTAAAATACGCCTCAATCAAATACATTTGTAATGTCTCAATATTTACCTTACTGTCTAAATCATGACTTGACAGATACGTCAACATCGTGATAGTCATTCCTTGTTTGTTCAGATTAAAATTTCAGGAAGTCGCCCTCATCTCCATGAAATATTTTGGACATTTACGGGCAACCGAGCAGAACAAATGACGCTCTGTAACATAGATGGTAACATTAATTACGAAGTACTTAGCGCGACATTAATCCATGGCTGTAAAGAAGCAAAAGCTACCTTGACCATTCTGCTACGTAGCCATTGAAAGAGGTAAATAGAATAAATATAAATAAAGACACCAAACTCTGTGCTGCTGGTAGCTTTTTGTATCTGATATTGAACGCCCAAATTACTTCAAATGGACTGATCCAAATTTCAAGCAGAAAAATCTATTAATACAGTTCAGCATTTTAAGTTCCTGATATAAAATTAACTCTATAATCTTATGAATCACGATCACAAAACGCATTTCTCATTGCTATTCATGAATGCAATCATTTTCAAATACAAACTTTAAATGAATGTCTGCAACAATATATTCAGAATACAAATCCGTCTCATAAACGATATCATATTGAACAGAATCGTCTTGTAAGCATCGATTTATTCACTTATTTTAATTTTATTAACACCGACTCCAAATTTTCATAAATTGTCTTGGAGAAAGCTGTAAAGCCATGTTAAAATCATGAGATCTTTGTCATTTTCATTTCCCTCCCATTTATTTCCTGACAATAATTTGTTAACATTTTGTTCAATTAACATCCTGAGAAGATCAGGCTCTAAGCATAATTTTTCATTAAAATAAGATGTTTTTTAAAATGTTTTTTCTTTTCCAATCCAAACAAAATAACTTGCCAATATTTTTTTTCTCTCTTTTTGAGAATTAGTGATGAATGTTTCGTTCTCGATTTTGGCAAAGCAAAGGTAACTTCGTGGCGCAATCATTTACTCAAAATCAAAACATAGGGAAAAGACAACAAAATAAACACAAAACTAAACAAACAACAACTTCAGTCATACATCATACAAAGTTGAAGTTATGGTTGTTATTTATTTCTAGTAATGTCCTAAATCATTTAAAAAGAAACCTCAGACTTTGGAACATACAAATCAGATTCTTTTTAAAAATATTTTTCAAACAAATGGCCTTCAAAAGGTATTTATTCTACAAAAGATGGATTTTATCCGCCGAACACTTCTAAATCTGAAAAAGAAAAAATATTAAACTACATCCATTCCCTTTTGATGTTCAATATGATGCAATAAGTTTGGTAATGCATAAAATATACGAAAAATGAACATTATTTCCGATGAATTATTGATGCATTGTATCTTAAAGTCATTCATTTAAGGTGAATTTGTGATACTTGATAAAGAAACAAGCCGCAATGTTCATTGTTCGCATGGAAAGGTAAGGCGGTGATGGTGATCAGTTAATATATTTATTCTGTTACTTAAACTGCTAAAAAGTATCTTAAAATACAGCCAGTTTTTTTTCTTTGTTTTAAGAGC